GCTTTGTGAGCGCGCCTATAGCTAGCTGTTGCCGAAGCGAGCGTAGCGCACGCGCCGACTGAATCGAGAGCTTCTGAGCGCGAGCATGACAACTTGGTTACAGATCGTAGTCGTGAGTCGCACCTTCAGTGCATGCTCTTGACGATTCTCGGTGCCTCGAAAGCCATTATCACAACACACTAAGTCTCGACCTCTTTCCCAAGCAGCTTTGGCACTGGCAATTCTGCTCACAAGCTGCCTCACCTCGCCTCAGCTTCTGCTCTTCGCTTCCCGCCATGTCCGTGGTTTCTAGGTCCACTGCGTCTCTGCGAGCCGCAAGAGCTCCACTCTCTCTCTCGACGAGTCGAAGGAGTTTCACCACCGCAAACGCCGACGGTATACGCGTTGCCGCTGCCGTAAGTGACTGGTAGTCGGGGCACACCAAATGCTTTGCTCGCGCAGGACGTCGGGAGAGGCGTCTCCTCAACTTGATGCACATGAAGGTCAAAATCGTGCCCAGAGGCTCACGCTTTCCCTCCCCACAGGACGATGGAGCGCAAACTGCTGCGATCACGGTGGCACTGAACGCTGGACCTCGATTCGAGAGCTCTCCCGGTGCTGCTCGTGAGTGGCCTCACGCTATGGTTGTGCCGGCGCTTGCGCGCTGCTGACCCGAACCGCACCCGCTTCGTGCCCTACCTGTCCCATTAGACGCTCTCAAGACGTGAGTCTCCTCCCTTGGAGGCATCGCCGTGTTCTCAAGAGGTGCGCGGTACTAACACAACCTGCTACGCGGATCTGTTGCCCGCTCCAGCTTCGCCTTCAAATCGACTGAGAAGCGATCTGCACTCGCTCTGATCCGCGAGACGGAGCTCTACGGCGGTGCCCTCTCTGCAACGCTGTCCAAGGAACATCTTTTTCTGACTGCGGAATTCTTGCGTGGAGATGAGTGAGTGTGCACGACTGCAGGAAAAGCATTGCAATGGCGAGGGACCAAATGTGTGGCTCATATAGGCGCGGAGAGTGCAGAATGGCATACCGGTCCACAGCGAGGAGGGCTATGCCGATTAGGAGCTGAAGGTAGAATTCGAGTTTCTTGCCCCATTTCACAAGGTATCGCAAGCTGATGAACGTGTCATGCACCACAGGGAGTTCTTTGTGGAGATTCTCGGCGAAGTGCTCGGCAAAAGCGCCTTCTTGCGTCACGAATACGACGAGGTAGTTGTGCCCTCTCTCAGCGACGAGTACCAGATCAACCAATCTACTCCAGCCGCTCTAGCCCTCGAGGACTTCACGCAGACCGCCTACCGTCAACGTGGGCTCGGTGCCAGCTTGTACGCGACTCCCGTCTCCCCCCTGAGCTACGACACGGTGACCTCTTACGCGAAAGCGGCTTTCGCCAAGTCCAACCTTGCTGTCCTTGGCACCGGCATTGATGCCTCCAAGCTGTCATCATTGGTTGGCAAGCACTTCAAGTCCATCTCCGCCGGCAGTGCTTTGAGTCCTGCACCATCGAAGTACTTTGGCGGCGAGAACCGCATCGCGTACCTGCCTCCTCACGGCTCCGACTTTCCCCGCGCACACGATGCGCACCTTGTGCTCGGCTTTGAGGGTGCACCACTAGGATCTCCTGAGCTTGCCGTTCTGCGTGCACACCTTGGAGGCCAAGCGTCAGTGAAGTGGAATGATGGCTTGTCAGCGCTTTCCAAAATCACCGCCTCCAACTCCACCATCTCTGCGAACGCTTTCACTTTGGGTTACTCTGACGCAGGCTTGTTTGGCGTTCAGCTTTCTGCTCCTCACGCCAAAATTGCAGAAGTTGCAAAGGCGGCGGCTCAAGCAATCAAAGCAAGCGCTGACAGCCTCTCCTCTGAGGAGCTTGCTCGTGCTGTTGCAAAGGCTAAATTCGAGACTGCTTCCGCATTGGAAAACCGCGCTGGTGTTCACACTCTTGCTGGCAGCCACGTAAGTCCCGCCAAAGACGCTCGAGAGTTGAACAATTTTGACGCCTCGACACTGTGCTCTCTCCATGCGCGTAGCTGTTGTCGGGCAGTCCCATCACAACGCTTGAAGAAGTTTTCTCCAAGCTCGAGGGCGTCAACGCCTCTGCTGTTTCATCGGTGCGTGACCCCGCAAGCTTGCTCAAATCATCGCTGTGGAATGCGGCACTGACTACGCTTGCTCATTCTTCGGACCCACAGGCCTCCGGAAAACTCCTCAAGAGCAAGCCAACAGTTGTGGCAGTCGGCGACGTGCACAAGTTGCCTTACGCAGACGAGCTTCTGTGATCTGATCCCAGCGAACTCTACTAGAAAGGACGCAATGCATTCGATTCACATTCACTTGACGCGGCAAGTGCTCGCAGCCTGCGACGGCCCGTGTTGAGGGCGCCTTGACCAACGATTTGATAATCCCTTGACGCCGCCGAGTCCTGGCTGGCTGACTCCACCTCGCCAACCTGCGTGCGTATCATTCGCCTCGCTTCCATTCATGCGTCACATCTGGCTTCCCATATTTCAGGTGGGGACCGCTAGCTTTTCGATCATGCAATTTTTGCGGTTGTGTAAAGGCCGCGGCGTACTAATGTGACATGTGAAGGATCGACCGCCAGGGCAGGCCAAGTGCATGAAGCGATGTGCGCATCACAGTGTATCTGCCTGTCTCTCTTCAAAACGGCAGGGTCTGGTGGAAAGAAAATGGCGTTCGCTATGCGAATGAGCCAAATATCTACTCGGCGGGGACCTCGATCTCTCCCTCGTTGATGCCGTCGATGATGTCGTGGGGAGGTTGACCATCGACAGCTACAGTAGCAAAGAAGCGCGAGAAAACGAGTCAATGTACTGACTTGCACAGAAAGACTAGCTCTACTCACTGCAGCCAACAGATTGCGCTGTGCCAAGAATCTCCTTCACCGTTCCAGCGAGCTCCTTGGCGAGAGACTTGTACCTCATCTTCCTGGCAATCTCGACAATTTCGTCGAAGGGAATGTTGCCGGCGTGCTTGATGTTCTTTACCTTCTTGCGGTCACGAGGGGGCTCTGATGCACAAAGCAATGTAGCGATAGCGTAAGCGATGATGGGCGAGGATGGGACGGCATCCAGCGTGGGGCTTGGCCAGGGCCAGCAATGTCAGGGGCAGAGAGAAGTGGTCTTGCTTCATCGACTCTACCAACGCATCCCGCATGACCCGACTTGTCCCTATTGCCGCTTGTGCGTGGCATCGAGCGCGATCCAAACTCACCCTTCAGCGCCTTGATTACCAATGAGCTAGCAGCGGGGACGATAGAGACGGCAGCCTGACGGTTTTGGACGGTGAGCTGGACAGTCACTCGAAGACCCTTCCAGTCACCCGAAGCTTTGGCAATGTCTTCTCCAACCTTCTTGGGAGACTGTGGCCACGATGGGGAAGCTGTGTGAGGGGGGATGCCTTGGAGAGCCCGACAGCAGCGTCACGCTCTACTTACCAGACCAAGAGGACCGATCTTGGGAGCAAGCGCAGAAGAGGCACCGACCTCACCACCGACGGCTCGGAGGTAGATGATCTTCACCTCATTGGGGTCAATCTTGGGCGCCATCTTGTGAGAATGTCTTGAGGTGTCACTACATTATGGGGCGCACGAATCGTCGGGTTGTCAGCGATGGGCCGTACCACGCCAATCCATTGTACCAAAAACAAGGTGGCGCGGAGAACGCGAGCCGACGCTCTGACTCGAGAGGCGCAACACTTGTCCGCCTGAGCCTTTGCACAGGCTCCACAACAAGACGTCCTCTCGGCTGTCTTGCTTGAGGCTCCTAAGCATGCCTTAGCGAGACTCGGGTATTGGGAACATTGGCCGACCATCCCGCGATCACTGGCCCCTCTGTCCAACGTGACCATTCTCCCGTGTGCAATGCGCCGTCCTTCTCCTACCCGACCAAGACGCGATCCAATTCTTCATCATTGGTCAACATTGATGTCCACCTCGTGGATCATATTTCCCGGCTCCTTGCCTGTTTTCCGCGTGCCCGCCGTCGTTCGCCTCGGGCAAGCCATGTACTGGTATAGCTCCGGAGCGCTTTCCCTTGGCAATGGACAGCAGAAGAGTGAGAAGCGGAGAGGGTTGATACTCACGTAGCGTTGACTGAAAGTGGGTAGACGTGGTAAGGTCCTGGAAAGTCGAAATTGCTCTTGGGAGAAGTGTCATGTCCCTCGCTGCAGAGCCAGGAAGCACGCGGCCGCGGCGCCCGGCTGATTTGAATCTCTAGACCTTCGCGCCGTGGTGCATGTTAATGCCTGTGGTGCGTTTGTATTGCCTCCAGCGCGTCCCTTCCATCCGGTGCGCCACGTGGTCAAAGCCGCACGCACTGCGGTTCGAGCCCCAGCAGCGTACTGCGAGAGGGACGGTGAAGCCTGCATGCAGCTTCTGGCCAGGCTGATGCGATGCGATGCGGCGCTCAAGCCTCAAGTTGATTGAAATGAGTGAAGGGTCGCGACCATTGATTCCACCATCTTCAAGACCCACCCACGAACGATCTTGTGAGCTTTCCAATCTGTTCAGGCGCCCCAATGGCTTGAACACAATCAGCTAATCCAGTCAATTCGCTCGAATTGTGCCTTGACCCGTCTTTGCCCCTTCTTCTTGACGTTTACAGCAAGATGACTAAGAAGAGAAGAAATGGCGGCCGCAACAAGCACGGACGAGGCCACGTCCCCTTCGTTCGTTGCTCCAACTGCGCTCGATGCGTCGTGAGTCACCATCTGGAGTCTCAAGCCTATCCTCTCGACTGAAGTCACTGACAAGCTGTCATCTCCCTGCTTCGCTTGCGATTCTCACAGCCCAAGGACAAGGCCATCAAACGCTTCACGATCCGCAACATCGTTGAGGCCGCGGCGGTTCGTGACCTGAGCGACGCCTCGGTGTACGCTGGTGAGTATCGCTGCTTGCGTAGATGTCCAAGCGGGGAAGTGAGGTGGCAGAAGGTCAAGGCGGCGACTGTGAGGAGGTGCGGCGGATGACATGGAGAGGCGCGAGATTGTGGTATCAGGATGCATGGGGCTGGGCATACCAATGAGACGCAAGCGGCTGTCTGAAGAGGATGCTGTGACTAGCCTAGCCGATCGCCAGCCACTGGGCTTCATCGCGCACATGCTCATCACCAAAGACGGTCTTTTATTTTCCTTTCAACAGAGTACGCTCTGCCCAAGCTCTACTTGAAGATTCACTACTGCGTCTCCTGCGCCATCCACGCTCACGTCGTGCGTGTGCGTTCGCGCGAGGACCGTCGCAACCGCGAGCCCCCTGTTCGCGTTCGCTACAACAAAGACGGCAAGAAGATCAACCCTGCCGTTGCTGCTGCACAAGACCGTGCTCGCACTTGAGCGCGCGTCTAGTGTCATGACCAGCAATCCTTCGGCTATGGAAGATCACAGTCAAGGGCCAAGCTGGACGGCGATGGTTGAGGGTAGTTGTGATGCGTAATACAGGTGCTTTGCGCGCTGTAATTCTCGGCCTCACTTGCGATTTGGACAAAAAGGGACACAAAGACAACCATTTCCCAAAACCAAATACATCCATGTACGCTATGACCATTGTCGAGTTGCTCTTCAAGCATTGAAGCATTGAAATAGCTCTCGCTTTCGCTACCATGCGGATCGCGTGATAGCCCGAACCTCGCCTCCAACTGCATTGCGCTGAATGGTCATGTGTGGCGGAGAGTCATGAATGCTACAAGTTACCAACGTGAATGTGGGTGGATACACTGCTCGAGGCTCATGGAATGGACCCTGGCGCAACGCCTTTGCGCCTCCTGCGAGGGCGCAGCAAGGCGGCTGCGATCGGCTGCTGGCACACCGGCACACCTCGTACCGGTCTTGCTGGGCATCTACAGCGACAGTCACCAGTGCGTGTCAGGGCCAATCAAGTCGCGTTGGCGCTCGATGGGAGGCAGTCGATCACAATTGTGAATCACATGGCCAAGCTCCATCTCCATGGCAGCCGTCGTGAGTCGTACATCTCTACAACATTCAGGCCTTGAGTCTCGTGGGTGCCGCTGGATGTGGTCTGTTTCAGTACCCGTCTCCCATTCGCAGTCCCATTCGCATTCGTGCCAAACACCCTCATCGCCTCTTGAAGATCTTGCACGCCATACTCAAACCTGACTCATCTTCCTCTCACACTCGGTCAATCGACGAGCAAGCTGCAACTGGAGCTTTGGACGTCGTCCCCTCGCAACTCACACTATTTGTCTCCCGCTCGTACTCGAATCCCGATCATCCACGACTCAATCGTGAATTCAGGTTTGTGATCTGTCTGCCTGCAGGTCTCTCCAGCTCCCTCCAGCTCCCTCCAGCTCCTCGCTAGGTTGCGCGCGGAAGAAATTCGTTCGCCAAAGAACGAGCGGGAAAGAAGGAGGGAAGCATTTGGACAGGGTTGTACGGTACCCGCCGATCCTGCGCGAATGCATGCGCTTCTTTGGGCACTCGACCGGCATCGTCATTCTGCGCTAGCCGAGGGGGACGAGCGTGTTGGAGGCGGGCAGCAAGCTGCTCATCAAACCGCGGGGAAAGCGCCGAGAACCCTGCCTCGTATGACCCGTCGATGCGCAAGCAAGTTTGCACGCTCCTCACCGACCTTCCTCATCTACTGATCGAGCCTCCTCTCCGACGGCCGCAGGAAACAAGCAGCTATGCGATCTCAATAGATAAGGCTGAGCGCAGCGCCGCAGCCTTCATCCCACCAGCCATCTCGAGGACCAAGCACTTAAACGCTGCACTGCGTCCACACTTGCCCGCGGCCACTCATCAGACGAGCTGGCATCAACCACCCTTGCACTCCACTCACGCTCTGCAATAGACGTCCAAATCGCCCAAATCTGCTCTCTGTACGTACTGACAAGTCAAGCGTTGCCATGCCTATCAGCCTTAGAGCTCGCAAGTCTCTGGCTAAAGAGGCAGCCCCAAGCGGCAAAATGGGTGCAATAGGATCCTCCCCAAATGCAGAGATCAGCACTGAGGCTCCCTCCATCCTGGGCGCGCAAACGCGCATTCTTCCTCGTTCGGTGTCTCACAACCGCGCTGAAAGCGCTCAAAGTCGACCGGCTTCGGCTGCAGGGCCCTCCTCCGAAGCTGCACACCAGCCCTCAAGCAGCCTCAGACCGCTGCGCCTCGTTGCCAGCTCTAGCAACATCTCACCCAAGCTCACTGCTACAGCAACGAATGGAAGGGGCAACATTGGGGCGTCTGCTGATGCTGATGCTGCCTCTGATCTCCGTCGGCCAGCCTTCAAGCGCGAGAAATCTGCATCAGCTGCTATGATTCGTTCGAGAGCAGCTTCTCCAGCACCGAGTGCCGCCGAATCATGGACACAGGCAGGTGATGCCGAGGGCGCATACATCCGCAAGACTTACGCACACTTTGACTCGCGCGGCGTCGAAGATGACGGATTTGTGGAAGGGCAAGAATGGACGCGAGAGAGGGGTCAAGGGCATGCGTGGGAACAGCCAGATCTGGGCAGAAAGAGGAATATTTCTCGTGCACGATCCGTGACACCTTCGGTAGTTGGAGCAAAGCTAAGGATAGCGAGTAGCCAACTGCGCAGGGATGTGGCTAGGTCAGTCCCTTCTTCGCCGTCGGTCGGACATAGGAATCTTGCGCTCTCTCCCGCCTTCGAAGGGTCCTCGTCTAGGCAGATCTTGCCTGGTCGGCTTAGGCCTGGCCCAAATGGCCCGGATCGCTTATCGCCTATCCTCGCCGAAAGCTCACTAGAATCCGATAATCCAATGCACCGCGCTGCTATCTCTCCACCACTTGCCTTCACGCAAGACAGGCCCTCGCTCGATCCCATTGTCACTGATGGCGGCGGCGCAGGCCTCGGACTCGTCCACTCCACAGGCCTGTCGTCGGCAGTGGAGGAGCTTGCCCCTTCGCCTTCGGCGCCGACTCTCGACATCATCCCCCCGACACCAAATCCAGCCTTGTCACCTACCCAGCCTCTTGACCAGAACGCTCAGCAGAGCGGTGCTTCCAGCACTCTTTCGCCGCGTGACTCCTCGCATCTTGGCAGCTCGTCCACAGAGACCTGCTACACTACCGTCGATCATTTCTCCGACTCGTCCGGTGCTCGCCGGCCAGATGACGATGTAACGCGGCCTTTCAGCAGCGAAAGCATCGTCAGCCTCGCACGCAGTGAAGAGAGCGGCTTGAGCGACTCTAGACGTCTGGGAGTGCTGCAAGGGCGCGTCTCAGGAACCGAGGAGCAAGACCTTGACTACGAGGGAGAGTCACACCAAGAGAGAGAGGCGCGGATTGCTCGCGAGGAAGTCATGAGCAGCATAGATCGTTATGGGTTTTTCGCCAAGGAGTTGAATGGCAGCTCATCAAGGCCCCCAAGGACTACCATCCTGCCCGCGCCTGCGTTTGCCAAGCTGCCTTTGAAGCGGAGATCAGCTCTGAAAGCTGTCCAGAAGAAGCCTGCTCCTAAAGGAAGTCCGACAATGGGCAGCGAAAAGTCACCCTCGCTGGTCGGAGCATCTGGCTTTGCCAAGGGTGTCAATGACGATGCCAGCGCTATCGATAGAGTGCGCACACATCGGACTGCGCTCGAAGAAGCGGTGAGAGCACGCGAAGCGTTGCGGGTCGAGAAATGGCAGCGCATGCTTCGAGTCGATTCCAGAGATGCAGGCGGCAACGTCAGCGGCTACAGACTTGCGTCGAATCTCGTTCAGAGCAAGAAGTTACGGAGAAGGATTTACAAGGGTGTGCCTGATCGATGGAGATCCGCTGCTTGGTGGGCATTAGTTTGCGACGGCCATCACTCAATCTTCGTGAATTCGGATGCGAGGCCTGTCGCAGCCGCTGCGAAAGCCAACCCAGTGACGGGACACGGCCGCCATGAAAGCGAAAGGAGCAACACCGGCACAGTTGCCTCCACCTCTCCAGTAGGGACGGCCCGCAACCGGAGCGTTGCGAATGGGTCTCTGGCAAGTGACGCTGAGCATCGATACGCAGAGTTGATCAAGCAACCCAGCCCTCACGACGTCCAAATCGATCTGGACGTGCCTCGAACTATCAGTGGTCATGTTCTTTTCCACACGCGGTATGGACAAGGTCAAAGAGGTCTATTTCACGTCTTGCATGCATTCAGTCTGCATTGCGATGACTGCGCTTACTGTCAGGGAATGGGCCCGATCGCTGCAACGTTGCTGGTCTACTTGCCGCCGGAGAGGGCCTACGCATGCCTGACCGCCATGCACGATGCGCGCGAGTACGGTCTGCACAAGACTTTCTCTCCTGGCTTTCCCGGGCTAGTGGAGAGTTTCTACGTCCAGGAGCAGTTGGCTCTAGCGTATATGCCTGACATAGCGCGACAATTGCTGGAGCAAGACATCACGACGTCAAGCTACGCCACGCGCTGGTACATTACGCTCTTCGCGAACGTCGTGCCCTTTCAGACGCAAATTCGTCTTTGGGACGCCCTACTGTTGGACGGTGCAGACGTGCTCGTCATCTTCAGTCTAGCGGTGCTGTGGGCGCTCAGAGATCGCCTCATTCATCCCAATGCGACGTTTGAGACCATCCTGGGTGCTCTAGGCGCCGAGCTCTTGCCGGAGGACGATGATGCGCTCATGAGGTGGGTGGAACATTTCAGTGCCCGCGACGATGTCAAGAAAAAGATCGCGAAGGCGCACAAGGAGTGGCACGTCCGTGAACTTGCCGGTGACGCTCATTTGACGTAGACTGGGGCACAAGCCTTTGTGCTTCGGTCTGAGGGCACTTCAGTCTCGCCACTCATCGTACCAAACCTCTCCTTGGGTCGCTGTGACGAGATGCACGAATATCATTCACTGCACAGATCATCGATCTTGCATCACTTGTACCTCGCACCATCGCACCACGTCTTGAGACTTTAGGACCGAACCTGCGAGCCGACAACAGTCATCTTCATCATTCTCCCTGGTGAACTTCATGCTTGCTTATTTGTGAAGGACCTTTATAAATCCCGCCATGTCACCTGAGGTCACGAGTGAGGGACCGGCAGATCAATTCGGTGAGGGGGAGCAATCGGGTGAGAGGTGCATTGGGAATACGATAGCGATGTGTGTGCTGAGTGTGGTCTGAATGCGCAGAGACACTATTTCGGAGCCCCACGACGCCAGGATGTCGACGTGTCAGCTGGTTTTGGCGGTGGTGGTCCTTGAGGCTGGACTTGCCCTTCCGCAAAGTTGCGTGGTGCACCACTTTGCCTCGATCCGTTGGACCCGTATGGAGGAGTCGCAGGCAGTCCTGACCCTTGCAACGCAGCAGCGGCCATATGGCTGTTTTCGCTCGATCCGCCTCCAAAGCGCTGTCCATGGGGAAGAGCAAAACCCTGATCGCCACTACCTGCGTGTGCAGCACCACCGATGTGGACGTTGCGGAACGAATTTAGACCAGCAACATCCGAAGCTCCGAACGAGCCTGAGCACCGATCACCGCCGCTCCGCCCGTGAGGTGGGAGTGCGGAAGAGCGTGAGACCGGATAATTAGGCAGAGCTGTGCCAGGACCGGCTCCCAGCGCTGAGTTGGCGATTTGCTGCTGTTGCTGGGACGAGAGCGGTGTACCCTGCCCGGCTCCTGGAACGAGGCCGTGTCCCACGCTACGGTACCCAGGGGGGTAAGAAGGAGCAGGCGTTTGGTAGCGCGACTGCAAGCCACCAGAGCCACTGGATGCGCTACTATGGTGACTACCGTCAAAGGGAGAGGCCGATCTCGTCGACGATGCATTCGCAAAAGCAGCACTTCCGGCCAGAGGATACCGGCGCGGAGCTGGCAGTGCTGCCCCGGGCGGTGGACGATGTGCACCGTGCTGGGCGCCGATCGCGCCGGTGCCGCTTGGTCCGAGCTTCAGCGCTGGTGCCCCACTGGATCCTGGAGCCGTCAAGCCTCTTGGATAGGTTGGCATTGTGCGCTTGCCATTCCGTTTCACCTTTCCATCCTTCACCTTCTCCTGGGGGTTTCCAAACATTTTGGATCCTACACCTTCCTTTCGTTCATAATGCTTGCGCCACGTTTCCTCCTCTACCATGGGCTGGCCTGGATACGAATCGTAGGATATGTCCATGATAGTGGATTTGAGACCATAAGACCGCTTTTCGTCTTCATTCAGTAGCCAAGGAGTGTGCACGAAGTCCGGATGCAAATTGCGCAACGCGGGCAACCACAACTTCACGAACTCTCCGTGCGAATCGTAATCTTTTGCTTGCTTGATGATGTTGAATTGCCTGGAGGCTCGAGGATCGTTGCCGACGCCTGCGACGTACTGCCAGTTACCGTAATTACTGGTCGCATCATAATCTATCAGTTCACCTTGGTAGAACTCGGCCCCAATACGCCAGTCGTAACCGAGATCCTTCGTCAAGAAGGAGGCCACGTTCTGACGGCCTCTATTCGACATGAACCCGCTTTCTCGGAGCTCTGTGATGTTGGCATCGATGAAAGGTATACCCGTACGGCCCTCAAGCAATCGACTAACGGGATTCTCGCGACCATCCTTGACCGGATCCCACATCTTCCACCAACCCGGTTGGAGCTTCTTCTCAGCTTGCCGGGGATCTGTCGCGCCCTCGAACCCTTCGAGCTTGAAGAGAAGGTCACCATACTTTTCGCTGACGCAGAAAAAGTAGTCCCGCCAAAGCAGCTCGAAGCGCACCCAGTACGTGTTGCGATCTTCACCAAATTGACGCTCGTGGATGTCCAAAGCCTCCCATATCTGCCGCGGTGAGATTGAACCGTAAGCCAAGAAGGGGGACATCTTGGTCGAGTACGCGTGGCCAACGAGGTTGTTGCGCGTTTGCTTGTATCGCGCGACCGGAGGGGGATCCGCGCGTCCCCATCTACTCGAGTCGGCGCTCTTGCCCCTGATAAAGTACCACTCTAATCGCTCTAGGGCGGAGCTTTCGCCTCCACGATTTGGAAACGCCGAAGCGGGGTGCCGTTGTTGAAGAAGCTGACGAGAGGCGATCGGTTTGCCGGCGCTCAGAATGGTTGGAGAGTCGCTGAGGGGGGCCAACAAATAGCTGAGAATGTCGAGAAAAGAGACTTGACTTTCCGTCTGTGCTTGATCCTCTGGCGGACGAGCAAGAAGGCCATCAACGTCAACCTCGTACGATACATCGAGAGAATAATCGGGGGTCTCGGGAAGGGCGGGCGGAAGCGGCTTGAACCGTTCAGGTGGTCGAAGGGTGGGCCGAACCATAGCTGCCTTCATCTCTTCGACGCGCTTGCGGTACGGCGTGAACACGTCGGGCGTCTCGCTGATGTCGAACGGCAGATCGGCTGGGTGGACCAACGTCTTGCCGTGGACGAAGCGCATCGGCACGTTGAGACCTTGCAAGCGTTCTTGAAGCTGCGTCTCCAACTGTTCCTCGTCGTGCGTCACCTCCTTTTGCAACCATACGCCCTCGACCTCATCGCCCCTAGCCTGGAAGGCTTTGACGAAGTTCTCAACTACCACCTCTGGGAATCCAAAGCGGATGACCAAGTCAGAGCCAGCGGCGCGAAGACGGGACCGTAGATCATAGACAGCTTCTGCGATGAATCTAGCACGGAACCCTCCAGTCTTCCAAAAGCCGTAGTTCTTCGTTCTTGCCTCTGGTCCATTCCGCTCATATCCAGGCAGGCCGCTGAGTTCTATAATACGCTCGTCGAAGACGTACAATGGCATCAGGTAATCTGCACGGCTGAACAACGCTGATCCTGCGAGAACGTCTTGATTGAGTTTGGTAGGAGGCCTTTCGGCTGCGGGTCCAGGAAGAGGTTCCGTCATGTGTGCACTGTCGGGCGTGCAAGGCAGGCGCGAATGGGGCAAGGGTGAATGTATTAGTACGGCGGACAAGCACGCCCTGGATCGCAATGACACGGTATCGTTGGCATTGTGCAAAATGACTGCTAGGCATGCGATGACTCACTAGTGGAACAACGCGTTGTCATTGACTCGAAGATCCAATCGCATCAAGCATATAAGCACCCTCCTGGGTCCCCCCTCCCCGTGAGTGTCACCGCCAGATGACATGGCGGCTCCAGTCGATGCGCTCGATGGTCTGTGATGCCGACCGATCGAGCGCAGTGAGGGCGGATGTAGTTTGGAAGGGACGAATCGTTGATGGTGTCAAAACAGTGTAACCAGCGTGCGGAGGCCGGGTGGGCTTGCTCGACCAAGTGCTGCGGATGATTCTTGTGAAGCCTGGAAGAAATATTGATTGCGTTCTTGAACTGGCGTCACAGCGATTTGTAGGAGCTCAATGCGGCAGGTACCACTATCTCCTTGGCTGCGATCTCGCACGAAGACCTCCGTTGTGATGCCGAGAGCCACAAAGAGCGTGCAGAGTCCAGCTCGGTGGAGAAGCGGCCAGATCCGCCGAACCAAACGTAGGCGGAAGAGGAAACCAGGTCGCGTCCCCGTCAAAAGCCAAGGCTTGGACTGGAGCAGCTTCGCCAGAATGGAATATAGACTGGAGGCAATGCAGAAGAGGAGAGTCGATGCAAGGTGAAGATGCTGAGGCGACAAAATCACGCTGGGAAGCAATGCGGCCGAGGATGATTCAGAGTTGTGGCGGGAAGTGAAGAGCCACGCGAGAAGGGCATGAATCAAAGGATCTAGTGAGGGACAAATAACAAACCTTTCTAAATGCCACGGCGGAGCTGAAATCGTTGAATTGAATGTGCACGAAAGAGTCAACAAGAGGTTTACAATTTTGCGCTAGCTAGATGTAACCGTTTTGCGAGGATTGTAATCTTGAATGTGCGACACGCAAGTTTTGAATACTCGTGGGGCCAGCGCCTGTCCCGCACGGCGGTCATTTTAATCAAAAAGTGAGCTAGCTTGCACGAGGTCTGATGCCTCAATCTGACAAACGCTTACACAGCTGCAAGCCCGTTCCTCACGCAGTTGAGTCCATTCAAGAGGGGTTTGGCCAAGCAGCAAGTGACGTCTCTAGACCCAGTTTGAATTTGAACTCTCAGGACTGATTCACGGTGGCAAAGCAGCTGTATACGGTCTCGAGTATGAGTCAAGAGTTGGGAATCTTGCATGGAGGCAGCATGCAGGCCCCCTGCGTTGCGTCGCCCCGCAGTTCTCGATCGCTTGCAGTGGAGCAAGGGTGGGCGCGATCAGTGCGGAGGGAGAAGCGGATCGAGATTTAAAATGAGCTTTGAGTGGCGTCGCGTGACTGGTATAGCTGCGCACAACAATTTTGAGTAAATAGTCTTGATGAGTAGGTGACACCTGCGGCAAGTGGTCAAGCTTGACTTGCATCAAAGGATTCAAGTCCAGATGGAAGGATGAAGCGGTCTGGATATGAACTCTTGAGGGACTCATGCACCGAACAGACTCATCAGGCTCAATCATCAGAATGCGGGACACGAGAGAGCGTGGGAAGTCAAGACTGGAAACGATCATCAACACCCATCCATCACATGCAATCAGTCGTCTCCACAATCGCATCTCATGTCTGCTCCTGAGGCCATCATCAACTCAAATTCTACGATTCGAGCTTCTAATTGCTCTCGAAGCGCGGTCTGGCCGCTATTTGAGCGAAGAGTAAAATTGAAAGCAGGTGAGTCTTGAATGTGAGCCGCGAGTGGTCTTGAACGACGCACTCGATCGCGACGTGACTTTTCTTTTCTCATTGTGACTTTCTTCCAAACGTGGGCCGCCGCGGCGCTGTCGTGCATGGGATATGCATGCAGCATGCGGCAGGCGATGGACGCCTCGCTGAGTCCCTTTTGCCGCCGTGATCGAGCGGGCGGCACTTAGCGGGCGGGCCGATCTGGACTCCTTCCACCGATCGTCGCGCTTGCAGCAATTAAACCAGCAGCTCCAGCAGCAGCAGCGGCACACAGCTACGGTACAGTCACGGGAGTAGTATAGCTAGCATGCATCTTCGCGCACCCATCATGAACCGCGTGTGGCGAGCAGGGCAGGGCATACCTCGCAAAGAATTCCCCGTAGCCGATAGGAGAATATGTTGTATATCTAATTTCCTACCGGAGCATTTGAGCCATTTCAGTAGCACAAGGCAATCTAGTGTTACACGGCCGCTGTGAACCGCTGTTAAGAGGCTCATCATACTCGGACCAAACGCGGGGCGGGAACGCGGGGCGGGGCGCCTCATTCGCTCGCGCGTCTGTCATCGCAAGGCCGCAGCGCCGCGTTCAGCATGTGCCACGCTTTGCAGCTCGCGGCTGAAACAATCCCAATCACGCGAGGCCACGCGACGCGACGCGACGTCTTCCAACACTCAAGACTTGACTCAAACTCTGACCCTGACTCGATGCAGCTATGGCCATGGTCACGCCTACTCCCGAGCTGCCTTTGAGCAAGGCAGACTACCGGCACGTATACGAACCGGCAGAGGATACGTTTGCGCTCTTGGATGCGCTCGACGGTGATGCGGATCGCCTACGGTCGCTCAACGGTGGCGCTGGCATGCTATGCGTCGAGATTGGGTGTGTACTTCTGCTCCAGCTCGTCGCTAGCTAGCTAGCTCTAGCTGCCTCTACCCCAATCTGTGCATTTGCGCGGTATGCGGTTGCAGAATATGCAGAGATTTGACCACGCTCCATCTTTTCCTTTTTTTTCTTTTTGCAATTGGATAGGAGCGGAAGCGGGTGCGTGTCCGCTTTCCTTGCCGCGCTTCTAGGCGCCACAAATGCTGGTGAGAGGCCCGCTTTCTTGTGCTAGCCGTCAAGCAGCGTGATTCTCTCTCACTGACGAGATCTGCGCCGCTTGTAGCTTTCCTGACGTTGGATGTCAACGACAAGGCAAATGTTGCGACGGGGCGCACAGGCACGGCAAATGGGGTGCGTGACTGACCGGGCAGGATGGGCAGGATGGGCAGGATGAGTGGACGTCATCTTGGCCACTGATCTCGACTTGCTCATGGCTGAATGCAATGCGTAGGTGCACTTGTCTCCCATTCGCTCGGATATGTTGTCCGCCCTCTTCTCGAGGTGCAGCAGTCGCAGTGAGACCGCCACATCCGCTCTCATCGACATATTGCTCTTCAACCCGCCCTATGTACCCACGACAGAAGCCGAAGAAGCTGCCGCACAGGCAGATCAAGCCATTGCAGGCGCATGGGCCGGCGGATCAATGGGCACCCGTCTGGTCGATCAACTCATCGAACAAGGCATCGAGGTGAGACAGACCTCTTTCGCAATTCGTCAAGAAGCTCGCGTGCTAGAATCTTCATGTCAAATCCTTTTCAGACAGTACTTGCTCCTCGAGGCATCTTTTATCTCGTAGCAATCAGAGGGAATGATCCGCCAGCTCTGATTCGGCGACTCGAGGCCCGCGGGCTGTCTGCACAGGTGATTGACGCTCTTCCTCGGCCGCCGTGAGATTCTCTTGACTGACCTTGGTCGTCGCTTACCTGTACAGATCGCTTTGCAGAGGCGGGCTGGGGGAGAGCATCTCTTCATCATCAGAGCACAGCGCAAGTGAACAAGTGCTCTCCAAAGTGGGCATCAGCGCGACCAAGACAAAAGGTTCTTCGGCGAGTGCTGACATCTCGCTAATGAGGATCAACGCGCATAGCATTTCAGCGCAAGCTACAATTTCGGGACCATTCCAACCGCAAAGAGGCGTTTGCTTAGTTCATGTACGTCGAGGCCTCGATGGTCTCCGGCATCTCGGGAATTTTGACCGAGAAGCGACTTTGAATGTCCTCGAGGACCTTCTTGTCGTCCTCCGAAGAACTGAACAAGATAGCTAGACCTTTCGTGCCGAAACGCTAGAGGGGCCAGGGAAAGGTCGAGTTGGTCAGCGACAACCGCGCCTTTGAGAATGTATGCAGCACGTCACTCACACCAGCACGTCCAGCACGGTGCAGCCATTCATCGGCAGACGTGGGAGCATCGTACGAGATTGACAGGTTTACACGTTCGACATCGATACCTCGCCCAAACACGTCGGTGGCTGTGTAACGCGACTGTATCAGCCCATGTACGCATTCAAGCGTGTTGCGCACGATGTCCTGCAAGTACGCACCTACGAGAATACGCTTCTCAAACTTCTTGAACTGCTGGTATCTCTCGATACGCTCGTCCTGTCTCATACCACCGTGCACGCAGATCGAAGGGAAGTTGCACTCGATCAAGAGCTGGTTAAGCTGATTCGCTCTCGCTGTGCTGCGAACAAAGATGATGACCTGGCGAGAACGTGTGAGGGGTCAGCTCATGGTCGCTGCCTGCGCATGACTTGCGCGCTGCTCACCTGATTGAACTCCAAAGAGTCGAGCAAGTCATTAAGCTTGCGGTTCTTCGCGTTCTCCTCAATTTGCACATAGTACTGTTGCAGGCCGTGCAAGGTGAGCTTAGCGCCGTCGTCGACATAGATCTCTAGAGGCTGTGTAGGCAAAGCGATTCCAACACGGGGTCAGTCGGACGCATGTCGAGCGATTGGGATTCGCAGCACCCACATTCTGCATGAACTTCTTGCAGGTCGGTCGGACTGCCTCAGAAAGTGTAGCACTGAACATCATCACCTGCTTGTGGTGTGGCGTTGCCCGGAAGATGTCCTGCACGTCTCGGCGCATGCCTGTCAAAATGCGAGGCGACCAACATCAGTCTTACGGCGGACTACTTTTCGTCCGGGCCTGACTTACCAATCTCTTCGAGCATCTTGTCACATTCATCGAGGATGAAGTGCTTAACGCCGCTAGCTTTCAAGCTCTTGTCTCTGACAAGCGCGTTCATACGGCCTGGCGTACCAACAACGATGTGAGGGCACTTCGTCTTGTCCTTGAGCGTTGCCTGATCAGTAGCAACGGGTGTGCCGCCGTAGAACACCGAGGTCCTGACGTCCGACATGTACTTAGAGAAGCGGGCGTACTCGTTGCGAATTTGGAACGCCAACTCTCTGGTGTGGCACAGGACGATGACGGACACCTCCCCATCGACGGGCTCAATCTGCTGAAGAGTGGCAAGGACGAAGACGGCAGTCTTTCCCATACCCGACTTGGCCTGGCAGACGAGGTCCATACCGAGGATAGACTGAGGAATGCATTCCTGTTGCACTGCAGCGTGAGGAGCATGATGTCATTCAAAAGCTCGTTCATGCTGAGAAGGCTTGGTATGCTCACCTTCGGAGGGATGCTCAAATCCGAGATCGGCAATGGCGCGCAAAAGTTCTGGCTTCAAGAGGAAGTCTCGGAAACCTGTGGAGTGAACACCAGCATAGGAGTTCTGTGGAGGTGAAGAAGGTGTGACAAGGAATGCAGGGCGCAGCAGTAATTTGCCGTCGTGCAAATTGAAGTGTCGGCGAAATGGAGCCGAAGGATGGTGGGGTGGAGTGGAGGGCAATAGATGAAAAGAGACTGTAAGAAGCATGCTCAACATACGGATAACATGAGAGAGGCAAGTCTTCTCCACTCTGACAATGTCGACAAATGTCTTGCGCTCAGCACTCGCACTAGGTCTCTGCTTCGCCTCGAAGGTCGTTAGACGCCTAATCGATGTTGAGCCGCCAGTCCGGCGTCCTTGAGCCGGATTCCGAACACTGCTCGCAAGCAATTTCGAGTTGACCAGTGCGAAAGGGCTCCCTGTCTTCGACATGTGCATCTCTGTTCGTTGTATTACCACGACGAAAGATATCGCTATGGCAAAATCTCCGTATTTTGTGCGTTTGCCCTCGACTTGCGGTCCAGAGGTCACAACGAAGAGAGAGCTGCCCTATCCCGACGCCAAACTTCCGCCACATGCCAATTGTTGAAGGTCTTATACCACTGGACCTAAAGCGTTCTGACCCGGATACGCCGGGCGCTCTTCCCCACGGACGAATCACGTAAGTTGAGAAGAGATATGGGTCTGCGCCCCGACTGCAGACCAAGCTTCTGACTCGAATAGCCGCGCGCGCACTAGACAGCAGGAGGCGGTCGAGATGAAGAACGAAGGCTAGAGATCCCGCAGCTGAAAGGAAGCGAACTGAATAACGGTGCTAAGGTCTGATGCTCGCCTTTTTGGTGTCTGTGGCTCCCTCTGCGCCGTTAGCTGCGCCGTCAGTGGCACTGGCTCCATTGGTGACGGTAGCGTCGGCGACTTGAGGAACCTCCTCCTCGTAGTCGATGAGACTGCAAGGTCAAGGGTACGCATCGATGAAACGACGAGTGGCGGAGCGAAAGGGTAAGAGAAGATGGCGTTGCCAAAGGTCAGCAAGAGTGGAGCATGGTTCTAGTCGTCGATGAGGCCCTTGATCTCGGCGGAGCTGTAGAGACGCTTGGACAGAATACGTACTCCTCGTTGTCCATGATGGCAGCAATAAGAAGCGTGGGCGAAGCTGGAAATGTGAAGAACAAGCGACGGATCTGACCAAGATTTCGTCGCTGTGCGCGTGGCGGATGGTGATGGTAGGGATGGGAATTGTCAATGCAGACTCGTGACTTTGACCTTGCTCTCGACGCATGCGTGACGACGGCGACGACGCGCCGTGATCCAGCGTGCAGCATGCGCGGCTCTGCTGGAGGCGGCGAGACATCACAGCTATAGGCCTGAGACCCACGTGGCCTGTCGGTGCAATGCTGTGACGGATGGTCCGAGCAAGTCCGCGGAGGTGCGCTTGCACGGTCCTTCAATCGCACAGCTAGCATGCTGACTCGTGAGACGCTGCTGGGGTTGCATGCGCGTGCGTGCACCACGTTCGCCCGGTTCGCACAAATACCGAAGCGTTCCGGTGTCAAATCACGCGCATTCAAGATTCTTGCGTGTAATGTAATGGTCACGACTCACGAGTACCGGCACTGGTGACTCATGACTGTGAGCGGAGTCGTGAGTCGAGATCGAAGGCTAAGATGCGATAATCTACTACTCGCTCGGCACCCTCGACTTGCACACCACCTCTGAGGCCACATGGACGAATGGCGAACCAAGATGAATGGAGTATCAAAGTCAGACTCCAAGGCCCTCCTTGGTAGCTCTGGCACAAGCCGGCACGCGCACAAGCTTTGCGAGCACTCGCAGCTTCCTGAATGGGCACACGACAATGCCTTCATTGTTGGCGGCTATCGCAGACCAGGCGGAACCAATGATGAAGCGCAGATGATCCCCGCCTCCGTCACATCGGCTGAACAGACAGTGCAAGTCTCTGGTCTTCGCAAACGCGCCAAGGGCAGCAGCAACCAGGCCGACGGCGATTCGCCGGTAGAGGCCTCCGCGCAGAGGCCAAGACTCTTTGAGCACAATTCAGTCAAGGCGTGTTGGGAAAGCGTTTGGCTGTACTGGCACAACGAGACAGGTGAGAGGCGTGCGGCACGGCACTCGTTGTTGGCCGCGCAGCGTGTTCTCCCGGACGCGAAGCTCACTTCATTCAAACCCATCCCCTTGCCCACTTCAAGTCAACATTCACACGCATCTCTGGGGCTGCGTATTCGCCATCGCTCTGCTCGCTCTCCACTCCCTCGCACACTTCAATCTGCTTCCCCGAGCCTTGACCGCACACCTGCCGGGCAGAGCACTTCTGCTTGCTCACGCGCCTGCACCTGGATCCAGCCTGGAGAAAGCCCTTCTTCGAGCCCACTCCTCCCCCAGCATCCCAGCAGCCGCAGCCTCGGGTGGATTCTCACGTTTGCTGCGATTGAGCGGCAGCGCTGCAGCATCAAGCAGTGCGTCTCGCGATCTCTTGCAACAGCAGTTGGCCACACTGTGGACCTTTGAGAGCACCACCAATTGGGCTCCTAATGGACCTCTCGACGTATTGGGCTTTGCCATCTTTGGTCTCTCAGCCGTAACCTGCTTCGGTTTCTCCGCCACATTCCACACGCTGCATGCTCACTCGTGCGACGTTTCAAAGCGAGCCAATGCTCTGGATTACATTGGCATCGTCGTAATGATTTGGGGATCTTTTCTGCCAGGCCTTCACTACGGCTTTCAGTGCCACCCGAAGCTGCAAGCATTCTACGCGAGCATGATCACGGTTTTGTCCACTTGTGAGAGCAGATAATGCAATTGCGCTCGTTCCTCACCTGCTGGTCCTTACCACTCTACTCGCATCTCCCGGCAGTCGCTGGTGCAGTGGTCTTATTACCTAGATTCAAGACACCTGCCTATCGGCCATGGCGGACATCTGTGTTCATACTCCTAGGTTTGAGTGCCGTCTTTCCCGTCGCGCACGCGTGGGCTCTTTACGGCGTGAGCAAAAGTCATGGGTGCACATCTCATGTTGAGACGCGCCGAGATACCGCTTTGCTGACGTCACGATGGGTGTCTTGCGCAGATCGAAATCCTTGCACGAACGATGGGGATATATTGGTTGATGTACGTATTCAGCTGACGACCGGCGCCAGTGGCTTTTAAACGAGTGGCTGACCAAGTTTGGATCAATGTGGCGTTGATACTAAAGAGCGAGTGGGGCGATGTATATCGTCGGGGCTCTGCTATACACTTTGAGGATACCAGAGAGATTCGCTCCCGGCAAGTTCGACTACATTGGAGCAAGTCACCAGATGTAAGCAAACATCAAGCCTGCTTATTGCGCCTTATCATCGCTCCCCGCTGAGCCATGACGAATCTTCTCCGCAGCTTTCACGTCTTCATCCTATTCGCAGCTTTGGCGCATTATGTGTGTATACGAAGAGCGCACAGCTTCTGGAAGGTGGCAGCGTCGCTCTCCACATCCACCACCCTGCAAGGTGTGTGCAGGGCTCTCGAAGCGTTGTAGACTACAATCGGACCGAGCACCGCAACACATTGGCACGATTTGACCCAAATAGAAGACCTTTTAGACGAAGACACTGGTTCGAGCTGCCTTCGCCATCGGAGGGCTGCTCGACATTTGCACACCGGCGAGCCGACAGGCTTGTACCTATGCTGCAGTGCCCCTTAGACGCGTGCCGAAGGGTCTCAAAGTTTAGGCAATGCTGAGTAGCTGAGCACGAGCCTCGTGATGCACCGCTCGAGCCGACCGTTTTTGATTCTGAGCAGAGGCAGACGGGCTTGTCGTCCGCAAGGCAGGAGCGACCGAAGACGAGACGAGAGTGCTGAGGGTCAAGGATCTCTTGCGGGGGTAGGAAGGTAATGTCTGGGGAAGCTCGAGGATTTCGACGCTGGCAAAGGGTGACGTCTTCTCTGATTGTTTATTCGGGACCGGCGGCGGCGGCGACGGCAGCTGCACGAATGCTGTGAGGGGATTCATCTTTCGCCACATCTTGCTAGCGGGAGATGGGGTATTCCGTGCTGGCGCTTTGCTGTGCTGTCGCTGTTCCTCAAGCGACGTTTCTGGGGCGGGCGGATAGGATAAGTCTTGGACCGGCGAAGAAGGTGCTGACGGTGGCATGCGTGCACGACGTTGGTCCGGCGTGCTTGATCCGGGCTTAGTAGGTGCGCAGATTGCATCTTCCAGCGAAGTGCGCTCACGGATAGGATGGCAGAAGTTTCTAACCGGAATCAAGCTCCTGTCTTTGCCGGCGTGCGGTGTTGCGGTTGCTTTCGACTCGTGTACCATTGAGCCAGTGAGAGCGACTGGCATGATCTCGTTTGGAGCGCGTTGAACAGCGCCTCGTGGAGAAGGCGATTCGTCGGCATTGCGCCATGTGCTCGTTGCACCTACCCTGCTCAGCTTCAGCTCCAGGCTCTTGGCGCGGTTCGTCTTTGACCTCTTGCCTTGCGCAGGCCGAGATCGAGCATCTTCATTCACCTGCGCAAAGTGCGCGTCGAAAATGTCGATGATCTCTCGAAGGGCTCTGGATCCGGCGACTGGATCCGTCTTGGCTCGCTCCTTGCGCGTAACGGCCAACGGGATGTCGACCCTCATCGCGGGTGCGCTGCGCATAGGCTGCAAGCGTTGAGCGTGCTGCACATCGTACCTGAGCACGCGCTTGGACAAATTAGAGTCATCCGTTTGAGCACCCAATGGTGAGTCGCGAATGAGCTCGTGGGGACCGAATTCGTCTGTTCGGGTCGCAGCCTGTGCGGACGACGACCGATGGGAAGAGGAGATCGGGAGTTCTTCCACACTGCGTGTAGCCTGTCTTCGGTCAAAGTATCCAACGGGAAGCGGAGATTTGACCGGGTATCTCCAATCCCTTAATTCAGCAGTTGCCTTTTTGGGTGAGAATTGCATGGTGAAAGCAGATATTCGTGCTGCGCAAGATACCTCGAGTCGCTTCGGACAGGATGAGCGCCACCAAGCCTGCAGATGGTGAGTCAAGTGGGTGCGTTTCTGGTTGGAGAGTGGAAAGATGGTAGAAGGGATGTTGAGGGAAGGTAGAAGCGGCTTATGAGGCAGAGGAGGGTGAGGGCGTACAGGGACACCTTTGAAGCACAGTCACAGTTCTGAGTGTACCGTTCGCTGACATGCCGAGTTGAGCTTTCAGTCAGACTCTTGACCAACGTGACGCCACGACGTGGGAATGAAGCGGTATCAGTGAAATGAGGCAGCCAGCTGGACCGCCAGTTGCAACAGTACAAGGTACCTACCGATGCGCGGTGGTGGCATCATCATCAGCAGAATATGAAGCAGGCGAGGCGAGGCGCGCGTGCTGCCGGTTCCGTCCAGCGACAAATTCAGACGTGAAGCCGAAATTGGCGTCGTTTCTCAAGAATCATCCTTCCATCCACCGGCTCCGTCGCGGCAAATGAGACCGATGTCTTCACAACCAGCCTGTATGGCTATATACGCCTGGCCGCTCCTTTCTTCCCTCAGCGCAGAGCTTGAAATGCGAGCCGCCGCACCCTAAATCTGCTTAGCCGGGAAGCAGAGACCGTGCAGTGCGGACTTGTCGATGGTCGCACGTTGATGGCAACAGTGCAGGCGCGCAGCCAGTCTACATCCATCATCATC